AAAGAAAGAAAGAAAGAAAGAAAGAAAGAAAGAAAGAAAGAAAGAAAGAAAGAAAGAAAGAAAGAAAGAAAGAAAGAAAAAAGAAAGAAAAGGTATCTGTACTGTTGCTGGGGAGAGGGAAGGAGGGACAGAACACGAGGGCTGGGGGACCACTTGATGACAGCGTACTCGCTGCGTTCCCAGCCCCGCGGAGAAAATAATACCAGTTTCTTCAACTTGAAATCCCATTTCCTAGACACCTAGGATCCACGAAAAACTGGTTTTTTTTCCTCCTACAATAAATATTTATCCCTTACAGCTCTATGAAGTGAGATTTATTATCCTCAAATAACTTATCTGGGATCGTGGAGCTGAAAACGAAATTTGTCTTATTTTGGGCTGGAAGATGAGATTAACTTGTTCAGTTAATAATTCTTACGAAAGAGTTATAAACTATCGTTTATTATATAGTCCCAACAAGTCAGGATTACTGATGAAAATTTGTAATTGGTTCGGTGCATAAAAAAAAAAAATACAGTGGTTTTTAAATAAAGAAAACCAAATGAGGTTTTAATTGAAAAAAATCTTTGCGTCATCACTGATTTGCACTTATTGGTTCATAGGTAATAATGCGGCAGTAACGGAAGTGAAACACTTGCTTTGCATGTGCTTTAAAATTATTTCAACCAATTTTTTATTAGGCAGTTTTTAATATTTAGTTTTAGCTTAAGCAACTCAAAGAAATGTTTGCAGACTGTTATCAAGCTATAATTGCCCACAAATTAGGTTCTGCCAGCTAGGTACCAAGATGCTTTCTACAAATTTGAGAGATTTTTTTTTTCTTTCTTTCTAATTGAAAGCCACTGATAATTGGGCTGCCTGTTCAAAATACGATAGGTGCGATTTTTCAGGCAGCCAATATTAGAGAGGGGAGCTTTAATGCAAATGTAGGCAAAACGTTTCCATTTCCTGCATGAATGAGAACTAATTTGGCAAATAAAGAAAAATGTGCGAGCTCCATTTATGATAAAACTTACCTTCACGTTTTCTGATCACTGAAAAACCATTTCCATTTAAACCGGCAAATTGGCCTTCACTTCCTGAATAAATGAGCCCCTTAAGAAATGTGCCCTTTTGAAAACAATTAAAGCTGAACCTTATTTTCAACCCAAAGGTAAGAATTATAAAATCCCGCTGGCTCGTACAGTACAAACACAACGAGATGGTGCTTCTCTGTGGGCCGATTACGCTGAAGCCCGGCACAAATCTCCAGGCCTAGGAAACTGACTTATTCACTTATCCTGGCTCACCCTGGCTTGCGGCGCAGGAGTGCGGTGCTCTGCTTTCTACTTAGCTATTGCATTTTTGCAGTAATTATATTTTAAAACTTCATTTGATGGAAGGATTACCTCAAATGGGTTTTTTTTTCCCCCTCAACTCTTATGAGGGCTCTTAAAAATGAATATTCATTTGGGACGGTAATAGGACAGAATGCAACCTGGTCTCAAGCAAAGAGAATGTTTAGTGTTATTAGTCCAAAATAGTAATTCTTTAAGTGGTAAAAACTCTCAGTTTGTTTCGTTCGATCTCAGGCATTATCACCATTCAAAAATCAAGGTTTGTTTGGTTTTTTTTTGTTTTGTTTTGTTTTCGTTTTTAAAATACATTCCTCTCAAATTTATCATTAAAAATATCATGCCCAGTTTTCATCCAATATAAATTTTTGTAATGCATGAAAACCCACATTTTGTTGATTTAAAAGCTTGGATTTCTTTTTTAATTAAAAGACGTGGGCTGGTTGAGATGGCTCAGTGGGTAAGAGCGCTGGCTTGGCAAGCCTGAGAACACTTCAAGCCTCTGAATCCTCGTTTTTAAAAGAGAGCCAGAATTGATGGCAGGCATCTGTAATTCCAGCACCCCCGTGGTGAAGCGGAGAGCGGAGCCGGAACTGCCAGCTAGCCTGGAGCACAGCCCCGCCGCCGCCGAAGCAAAAGGTAGAAGAAAAACACACCGTGCATGCCTACCGCCACGCATACCGTGATACACGCACATACAAACTGATAAATAAATGTTCAAAATAAATTAAAAGATAGGATGTCCCAAATAAGATGATGATTTTTTTTTTATCACAAAATACATGGTACAAGCAGATCAAGTTTTCTCTGCAGAAAATAGTATTTTTGAGAAAGGAGCTATTGCGTTATATGTACAATAGGGGACACTGTGGCACTCTTCTGAGCTCTCTCCCTGGCTTGCTCTTGCTCTCTCCCTGGCTCGCTCTTGCTCTCTCTCTTTCTCTCTCTCTCTCTCTGTCTGTCTCTCTCTCTCACACACACACACACTAATAATAATAGCGAAGAATATAAACCTTTAAAGAACTGATGTTCTCAACTACCCATTTGGGAGGAATTCACATGCACTTTGCATGTTCAGCAGTGGGGTATACATCGTAATTGTTGTATCTATATCTTACGAGATTTGTATAATGGATGTTAGGGAAAGCTCGGGCGTCTAAGGACATAATTTCACAGCATGCCACAACCATCAGGTTTGAAAAGTAGTTGGGAAAAATCTCAATCAGCAAAAGTGGTTCAGATGGCGACGGCCTCACCATCAACCTTCAGAAACTCAGATTTAAGCCTTTCTTAGACCAAGTCCCCACCTGAACATTTGGTTTTCCTTACCAGGAAAGATTTTAAGCTATATGCAATTCTAGCAAATTTTCCTTCTTACTGGTATATCTCAAGAAATTTATTTAAAGACTGACAGAAAATTAAGTCTGTCTACAAAAATAAAAAAATCCACGGGGAAAAATATTTTCAACACAACTGAACTTGTGTTGTTGAATTATTGGTAATTAATTTAAACATCTATTAAAGTAAAAGACTCAAAAATTTAAATGTACAATAATCCTTTTGTGATGTACAGTTTCAAGGGTTTCTCTGAGGAGACCCTGTTGAATAGAATTTCATGTGGTCAATCTGGTACAAAAATACAACTTTATCATGTAGTTCACTAACTTTGGTTTTCTTAAAACAAAACAAGGATTTAATGAAGCATCAATTTTTATCCCAGTATTTTGTAAGATTTTAAAAAATATTTTTGAGAAAGGACTGACTTTTCAGTATTTTTTTTTTGAAGTTCTCATCTTCATGAAGTCTTTCAAAAATACAGCTCCACTTCCATAAAATCAACTAAAATCAATTAACGAGCAACTCTCGGAACAAAACTGCCTAACAATAGCAAAATGGTCGCCGGCCTAATGAGTTTGGAGGTCGAGGCAAGGGTGAGGCCAGACACAAAAGGCTCCCGAGGATCACTCAGTCACACCCTTTCCTGGCTTCAGTGACCGGTCTCACTTCACTAGCCTGAAATCAGCCACCAGGGGAACAGCTAAACGCTGGAGATGAGCCGATGTTTAAAAGGAGTCTCTGAAAATTGACCAGTACACGGGTAGCACTGGGCACAGGAGCACGCAGCCCAGGCCACAAGATGCTCGGATCCTGGCAACAGAAATGGCTGAGCGGAGAAGGGTTGTGAGAGGCTTGAATGGAGAGGGATGGCTTCTGTCCATGTTTCTCTTCAGTGTTCCTGGAGTGCGACATGTATTACTTCCACAGGTATAACACCAGGTTATGTATACTGTCCATGTTTAGTACACTACAGCACTGATTTAAAATGGTCTCTTTAGATAGACCTTTCATGTGTTTGTTTATTTGGTTGCTCGTTGCTAGGGATGGAACCCAGAGCCTCATGAACACACACACACACACACACACACACACACACTTTCCATGCCTTTGTTCTGTGTATATATATATACATAGTTTTATATGTATACATATACATATATATAAACTAATGGAATATTGTATATACATACACATAAAATAATAGACTAAAATAATGAATCAGTGACCAAACACACAGATGTGAAAAGTAGACAGTAAGAATTTTAAACATGGACAAGTGAAAAATATCATATTGGTAAATCTACCCATTATAATCTCTATTTAAAAGACAAATTTGGAGCTGTAAAATTAGTTACTGTCTCTTTCTCATCTAGAAACACAGTGCTCAGAATCACCAAGTGATTGTGTCTAACTATCGGTACTTCATTAAGCTACAAACAATAGTTAACATGAAAGGCGTTTCTTGTTTAACAAGCTATTGGCATGTGTGGTGGTCTGAATGAGAACGGCCCCCATAGGCTCATCTATTTGAATGATTGGTCCCTAGTTGGAGGAACCGTTTTGGGAAGGATTAGGAAGTGCGGGCTTGTTGGAGGAGATGTGTCACTGGAGGTCGGCTTTGATGTTTTAAAAGCCAATGCCAGCCCCCCGGCCCCCCCCCCCGTGCCCCCACCTCCTGCTTGTTGATCAAATGTAAGCTCTCAGCTACTGTTCCAGCACCATGCCCACCCGTCACACTACCCTCGGGGACGATCATGGACTCACCCTCTGAAACGATAAGCAAGTCCCCAATTAAATGCTTTCTTTCATAAGTTGCCTTGGTCGTGGTGATTCTTCATGGCAATCAAACAGTCACTAAGACACCATCGATTCTGTATTCTTACCGTCTTGTGATCATTAACGATCATAAGCTCCAAATACTTCATTTCTTCAAACACACCACGTGATGGCTAAAGGAAAAAGAAATGCATGGTCAGAACAGTGATTGACATAAAGCATCTCTATTTCTCAGTCAAGTGACAGGTAAGCCTTGAACTTCAGGACTCTTCCTTGCCTATACTATAAACACCCAAAGAGAAGCCTGGTGAGGCAATTGTTCATACGTGACTATAAAGTGTTGATGAACAAGCTGGAGAGACAGCTCAGCAGGTAAGAGCACTGGCTGCACTTCCAGGGGACCCAGGTTCAATTCCCAGCACCCAATATGGCAGCTCACATCTGTCTGTAACTCCAGTTCTAAGAGATCTGATACTGTCTTCCGGCCTCCTTTGGTACTTACTACATGCATGTGATGCATAGACATATATGGAGCCTAAACATTCATGCATATAAAATAAAAATTTAAAAAAAGTGTTGATGAACAAACAAGAATTTAGAAAAAAACAACTTCACTATCTCTGCTCACCAAAATGGGAAATAGGTCATGTTGTTTCTGTGTGGGTTTTTACTCTGTAAAATTAGAGGAAATGCACAGCAGAGTAGCTAAAAAATAAGTAAATTTCCCTTTTTATGGCATTAGACGATAAAATATTCATATTTACTTAAAATGTCAAAGGAAATGTACATCATTTCATGAGAACATTGGACATCTCTGAAATAGGAGTCAGAGTGGTCAACAAGAATTAACTGATTGGAATAGAAGTCTAGGAACAGTGTGCCAATTTCCAGCTACTAACAGGAAAAAAGGCTGACGGTAACAATTTAGGAATAAAGACTATTGAACTCCTCATTCACATTTATTTCTTTTTATAATTGAAAAATTAATAATGACGGTTCTTTTTCTTTGTGTACACAATAACAGAACAGTCTGGACAGACTGGGGTAGAAGAAAAGCTGTGTAAGCCAAGTGCATCTTCAAGAATAAGCAAAGGGTTCTAAATAAGTGAGCGAAAAAATTGTATTCGTGATCACCATCATACCAATATACACTATGCAAGAAGATGATTCAAACTTGAACTAACTGGTAGATCACTGGGGGGTCGAATTAATTTAACACAAAAAAAATACACTCAACTAAGTATTATCTAAAATGTGTAATTTGTGCTATAATTACTCATTAAGTTATCTAGTGAATTACTATGTAACCTATAAGCTGTAGAATTAATTCTTGGTTACATGGCATTCACCATGTAATTACTAAACAGTCCCAATCACTGCAGCCTTCTAATCTACTACAAAAAGACTATGAACACATTTAGTTACAACCTCCCTACGTAGTTATCAGTGCACAGAAGACATACCACAGTTACCAGACTTATGTAGCCACTGCCTATCACCAATAGAGAAACGACATCCCGTCATTCCGTTCTGAAAAACTCATCCAGCTTTCAAATTCGGTTGAACAGAGTTTTTTGTTTTCATTTGGAAGAAATACAAATAAACTTGATTAGCCAATATTTCAAAACCCAACTCTCCCTAAATTTTTAACAGAAATGTTTTATATGACATTGTATAAGCCATATGATCTCGAAAGCTGTTGTGCACTATATGGTTTGTTTGTTTGTTTGTATGGTGAGTACATGCAGAAGTCATAGGTTAACTACTGGAATCAATCTTCTCCTTCTACCAGTCGGTCCCCAGGATGGAACTCTGGTCATCAAGCTCATTTAGCTGTCTCACCAGCCCTACTGTGCTTTTCAATAGTGGAAAAAAAAATGCACTCCAATTTTCATAAGAAAAAAACATAGAAGTAAAACAGCGCATGGTTACACGACATCAGGGTTCACAGGACACTCTAATCAGCTGAATCGTTAATAGGGAGAGGAGACTAAAAAAATAACATTGTGCCAGGGATGCTCGAGAGATGGAGGCTTCTTTGTGCTGCTTCTGCTGTGAAGAGGAACGTTTAGATAGTGCGGGAGCAGACTCCCAAGGGTAAAGGGTAAAGCCCGTGGCCCAAGGCCACACTCACATTCACAGCTCTCTTCCTTCTCCTCAGCCACTGTAACTCAGGTAGCAAAGGCCACCGGTCACTGCCATCTGTGCCTGTGTAAGAGGAAAATGAACATCAAATGGGTTTCGACAGCGTTCCGCTGAGAATAGTCTTCAAATATTACACGAAGGCACGGTGCCATTAATAATAAATGTCATCACAAAGCCAAAATAGCCTTCAGTGAAACAGTGCATTGATTGTTCAACATTTCACACTCACAAAGACAGTTCAAAAGCTATTTTCCTCTCCTCATGAAAAATGTGAGGTGTCCAAGGTTGATTAGACGTTGGTGGTCGTCTGACCTACAACCGTTTAACAATCTCGTGAGAACTCTACTCGGCGTGCCCAGTTTATTTTAGAATTTAAAATGATATGTGGCATAAGGTTTTGTGTAAATTATGAAAGACCCTGGGCATTAGGATATAGGGATACTATCACATGCCCCTAGGAAATCCAAAGAGGCCTTTGCCCACATTAGCATGCTACAGACGCTCCGGGGCAGGGTGAATGGGAGAAGCCACGCAGAATGGCCGGGGAATAGCAAACACGGAAGTCTGCCTGGCCCTGAAGTAATCATTCATTTACATTTGCCACACTCAGGTTCCCAGCCCAGCTTCACACCAGAGATTCATTTGTCGCCGCCGCCGCCACTGAAACCGCTCTCCATGCCTCATCCCACGCCAGGCTCAGCTGGGACTCCACTCCTCACCCACGCTGCTGACCCCAGCTCTCAAAGCAATTTCCCTTCCCAACAAGCCTGCACGACCCCAGCGGGTCTGTCAAGTCACCGTCCGCCCCGCATATCACGGCTATTTTAATTAAAACTTACTGAGATTCTTCATCTGCTTAGAATATTGTCCTGCCAAGGTTTTCTGGATTATGTGTGGCCGGCCTGTGCTTCTCTGAAACAGAAACAATTGTAGGAAATGAAAAAAAAAAAGTAAGACATGAAGACACTCTGCATCCAGGTCAATGTAATGCTTTCTCTCACACCCTTCCTAACGTGGGGGCGTCAGCCATCAGAAGGAAAAGGACATGCCTCGTCGAATCTTTAATTTTAACAAAAACAGCGCCCTTCCACTGACCTGCTTTAGATCAAAGCACAGTTTTGTCCCGTTGCTTTTAAATCTCAGCTTCTTTCAAAGCCCCAAGCAGGGAATGCGGGAGAAAGGAACAGAGCACCCACCAGCATGAGAAAACATTGGTGCTTTAGTAACTTTTAAAACACACATTTCGAAAAGATGAAACAGCAAATTTCCCTACCAACTTGTAAATGATTTAAAAAAAAAATTATGACATCCACAGTTAATTACGGCTGCAAGGCAGAACGGTCTCACACGTCACTGGTAACACAGTTTGGGAAAGATTTTAATAATATCCATAAGCAACCTTGGAAATACTCCTATCCTCTGGCCTAGAAATGACACTGACGCCTTACATTATTAGAAGTGGGGGTAGCATCGGAAGAGGAGTACTTAGTGTCTGCCAATCAGCACTGGCGTGTGTATTGTCCAATTTATCCCCAACAGGGAGCACGTATGTGGTCTGTATTCCATCCCTGCCCTAGTGTGCTTTCTGTTGCCATGGTAAAACACTGACCAAAACCAGCCTGAGAAGGAAGGGGTTTATTCCAGCTTGCGGGCTACAGTCCACCATGGAAGAAAGTAAGAGCAGGAGCTGAAACCAGAACCTGGAGGCAGGCAGGCACTGAAGCACAGCCCATGGAGGAGTGCTGCTTACTGGCTTGCTTCCTCTGGCTTGTTCAGCTACCTTTTGCCTACAACCCAGGGATAACCTACTTCACCCCACCTGCTTAGGGGTAGTACCGCCCACAGTGCGCTTGGCCATCCTACAAAAATTATCAATCAAGAAAATGTTCCAGCCGGGTGGTGGTGGCGGCAGTGGTGTACGCCTTTAATCCCAGCACTCGGGAAGCAGAGCCAGGAGGATCTCTGTGAATTCAAAGCCAGCCTGGGCTACAGAGTGAGTCCCAGGACAGGCTCCAAAACTACACAGAGAAACCCTGTCTCGAAAAACAAACAAAAAATGTCCCACAGCATGCCCACAGGCCATTGTGATGGAGAAGGTTCTTCAGCTGTGCTTCCCGTTTCTTAGGTATGTCAAGTTGACAACCAAGTTCAACCATCACATTTCTGTTTAACAAATACAGATACCAAGACTCAGAAAAATACATTATTGGGTTAAGTTGTGCCATGAAATGATCCAATCAACTTATTTAAAATATATATATATATATATGGAAATGTCTAATTAAAAATTTGTAAGAACATTTGCTAAAAGGTGATGAGAAATTATCTTTGGGGTGGTATGGTGGATAATTACTATTTAGTTAAGTGTTTGTTTTGCTTTTCAAGTTGTCTAATATATTACTAGACTTGGGCACAGTATTGATAATCGAACCCAGAGTCTCATGCATGCTAAGCAAGTTCTGCGCCACTAAACAGTCCCTAGCCAGTTTTGTTTTGTTTTTTCGTTTGGTGTTGTTTTGTGTGTTGTTTTGTTTGTTTGTTTGTTTGTTTTTAACTTTGAGACAAGGTCTCACTAAGTTTCTCAGACTGGCCTTGAACTGAAGTTCCCTCGGCTTCAGTCTCCTGAGTAGCTGGGATTACAGACATACACCACCACACCCAGCTAACACATAAGTTTTGCAACAATAAAAACAGCTATTAAAAAGGCCCTTCTTATTACATTTGACAGAAAACAATAATTAAGAATATTGCTATTTACTTTCTATTTGCAACAGAACGTGAATTCTCACTGGAACTATCCTGTCTGTACTTCGGACTTACTGGGAAGTATGCTAAGATTAATACTAATAATAATGGGGACATTCTAGTCAGCTCCCTATCCTGGTAACATAAAAAGACACCTAGTGTAGTCAAGTTCACCTCTGGATCTGCAACACGATTTTTACAACTAATTTCAAGTTTCAAGCTCTGCTCCTTTGCCCCCACCTACAGTGAAAATGAGAACAAATCATTTTGCGAACAAAAGGGAGGCTGTAGGAGGCAGGCAGGGAACAGAAGATAATAAGCACAGAACCATCAGCCCCAAGCAGTCTAATTACAGCTATAAGGATGAAGCGCCGATTCTTTAAACATTTTGATAATAAGAGTTTACATGTATATAAACCCTTTTAGCAGTTCAGCAGACAGTGCAGCACATTGAGAAATTCACACAGTCTGCAAAAAAAAAAAAACTGTCCTATTACGATGCACTGGAAATTACCCCATTTTTACATTCTTAAAAATGTAAAAGCTTGGAGAGCTATTTTGGACTTATTGTTGCTTTCTTTTTGGGGTTTCTTTGGTGAGGGTGGTAAGAGAACAGTTAAAGCCAAAAGTCAGGTACTTCGCTGAAGGGCTGACAGTTTTACTGCAGCATGGTTATCTGAATGTTCATGGAACAGGGAGAGTATTTATTCATCAGAACATCTTAATCTAGGTAGGGTAAATTGTCATCACTGTCTAGAAGACTTTAAAGTTATTCACCAAAACTCCATACAGGCTTGTTTAAATATCAGCTTGTACAATTTAATGGCTTTTCTGTCTCAAATTTGAAAGGCTATCCCATAGTCATATGTGCACGCGCACACACACACACACACACACACACACACACACAAATACAAGAAGACAAATGTTGCCCCCCCCCTCTTTTTTTGTCAAAAGCCTAGATGTCGGGATTTGGAGAGATTTCTCAGCAGTTAAGAGCTCTGGTTACCCTTGCAGAGGACACAGGTTCAGTCCCAGCACCCACATGGCTTATAACCATCTGTAACTCCACTTCTCAGGGCTCTGATGACCTCTGCTCACCTCCTCAAGCACTGTACACACAGAGAACACTCAGACATACTAAATAAATAGATAGACAGACAGACAGGTAGATGACAGATAAATTTTTAAACACCACACACACACACACACACACACACACACACGTTTTTCAAGACAGGGTTTCTCTGTGTAGTCTTGGTGCCTGTCCTGGATCTCGCTCTGTAGACCAGGCTGGCCTCGAACTCACAGAGCCTCCAGAGTGCTGGGATTAAAGGCGTGTGCCACCACTGCTCAGCCCATGTATGATCTCTTACTCATCTTTTGCATCTCCATTTGTGAGTCTCAGGACATCATTTTTATCATGAACGTAAAATGTACTAAGCCCTAAATATAATATTGATGACTATACATTAGACATTAAAGCTGGTTACACTGCCAATGAACAGCATGGCAGCAACACAGGATTTCTGATTATGGCTGTTGGCCTGTACAGGATGAAACACTTCCTTCTTCTCCATCTCAAAACTGTGTGTTGTATCATGTAGTCATTGCTTAGACCACAGGTTTCCCCACTAAATATTTCTAGCAACAGAAAGTAAGTATATTCTTACACAATTATCTAAAGAAGACACTGGAAATGCAAGCTTATCTAATGGAGTCCAGACCATTTAGTGCAAAAACAAAGGTCCTCCTTGTTCTCTCCAAAGATTAGAAAGAATGGGCTTGCTTCAGAATACCTAGGTATGATACCTCTGATCAGTCACCAAGAGCACGAGGGCCTAGCCTTGTGCCATTCTGAGTCTGAAATCACATAACATGGATAAACGCTCTTTGATGTGCCTTGTCTTCATATACTGGAAAAGCCAAACACCATAAGGAAATTGATGTCACAGACCCACCTCATCATGAGTCAGCTCCAGAGGCTCTATCATATACACGAAGGTGTCGTCCTCAAACATGCCACTGTAACACAAGACCCGGAGAGAAGAGTCAGCAAGTATGGCCAACAGTGAGAACTGGAAAGTGGGCATCTCCACAGTGTCATTAAAGAGTGCCTTGGAGCAAATGTCTTCATATGGTCCCAGATAAGCTCCCAGTTGCTGCATGGGACCCTGCTATGGTCTCAGCACTCCAAGGACTCTACTAGGCAGCCCACAAGCTCCAAAAATGTAAAGTATTGCCCCCAGAACATACAAAGTCTACATGACATAAATCATTTTTAAAAATAAACCAAAGACATCAGTGATCTGGATAAGATTTCTCACATCGTGTGGGGAGGTAGGGGATCACTTATTCCAGAACCATATGCAAGTAGTACAAAATTTTTTGCTATGCAAATTATGTATCACCTACAAGAAAGCTGACCACTTCATCATCTAAGAATATTCTAAAACCATCTCTGATTCTGAAGAGTCTGGTAGAAGTATCGTTACACCTGTAAATTGTGGGTGCCTATTAACTCCTATGCCATAGAAACCACATTTAACCTAGGGAGACATGAGTTTTGTTTTGTTTTTTTAAAGAAAGTTTGAAAAGGGCTTTAAGACCCTTTCTTCATTTCATGGCTAAAGTGAAATCTTCATCTGAGGCACCACTTGATCTGGATCTAAAACGTGTTTATGCACAGTTTCAAAGAGTCTGCTTCGGGACAATGCATGAATTCCTCCTAGCACCCCATCCTTCTGTGGCTGATGCCTAGTTAGACTTAGATCTAATCCTACTGATACGACCTTTGACATAGACCTGTAGGTGCTGCATCAACTGGACTGTGTCACTCTGTCAGCTCCCTGCTAGGGTTTGGGTCTTAAATGCACCCACAGATCCACTACTAAGGATCTGTTTTCATGCCAGAGTGGTGCCTCTGGGAGGTGGTGGGATCATCACGAGGTAACCATCACGAGCCTTGTAAGAAGTCTTTAGCTCATGTCATGGGGGGAGGAGGAGACGGGCAGAGAGGCAGTAGGGAGGAATGTCTTGCGGGGTATTGTGGGACTTTATTCTCCTTCTCACTCCTCTCTTTCCCTACTCATATGTTGAGCAGTCTTGTTGTACTGCACACATGCAATCCTCAATGATGTGGTTCCTCACAAATGGCCCAAAGTCATGAGGTCAACCTATCATGGATTCCAACCTCCAAAGCCTGAGCTAAAACAATCCTTTTCTCTTTATGAGTTGATCATCTCCATAGCATCAACCAAAATGGGAATTACTGTTCTATGGAATCATTTGTTTAATTTCTGAGCTTTCTACGAAATCAGGTGTTATAGAAGTGGAGACTTGAGCTCCCTGGAACTACTTTGTATCTAATCCCCAACACATCACTGACATAGAAAAGTCACTAAGATGAAATATCTGAAAAATAAAAACCAGAAGGAGTGAGTAGACATGAGCAAGCCTGGAGGTCAGGAGGCCCCAAGAAGATCCCCACATACTGGAGTCCATTGCATGTCGACAGAGCCACCCTGGAGTCTTTGACACCTCGGATGCTTCCATGGTAGTAACAGTGCTCTCCACCCTACAAAACAAAGAATGTCTTATTGATCGTGTCTTACACAGTGATAACTCTGCTTCTGATAGTTCTGCAGAGAAAGGCCATCAAGGATGAGAGTGCTTCTGCCAGAGAAACTCCCACTATTCCAAGTCAGAAACAGGGTTGGGCAAGCGTTAAACATAACAATTTTCATGTATTTAATAGAGGAGAAAAGGGACTTAATAGAGAATAAAACCAATGTAAGTGACAAAGTTGACTTGCATTTTTTTTTTTTTCGAGACAGGGTTTCTCTGTGTAGCTTTGCGCCTTTCCTGGGACTCACTTGGTAGTCTAGGCTGGCCTCGAACTCACAGAGATCCGCCTGGCTCTGCCTCCCGAGTGCTGGGATTAAAGGCGTGCGCCACCACCGCCCGGCTCGACTTGCATTTCTTAAGCATGCATTATATAGCAGTTACAAACAGATGTAGTTACACAGCAGTTTCCTCTCTCCTTTTCACACCACAACTCTTCCAGATGTTTCTTCTTCTGTTTATACACATTTAAAACAGAATCTTTATACTGCTATAATCTGATTTACCCCACTTGAAAAAATATCTTCCTAGGGTACTTTCAACATTATCAAAATAGAAACATAAACATCAAGCCAACCACAAACCCTTCATCTACAATGGTGGTACTACTTCCAAGATAGGCTAGGGCAATCATGGCACAAAGCACGTGGGAGTAACCAACCAATAACTGATTTTATTTAAAACCCACTCCACAAGATGGAACCCGTACCTGACACTGCTTGGGTGATCAAGAACCTGAGACTTAGATAGCCCAGAGACCTGGGGTAAAACCAAATAGTACTGGTCCAAAAAAATGTAGTGATAAAATAACTCTTAATGATATTCTGCTATACTCATAGATCAGTGCCTTGTTCAGCCATCATCAAAGAAGCTTCTTCCTGCAGTACACGGGAACAAATATAGAGACCTAGAGCCAGACATCATGCAAAGAGTGAGCAACCTTGAAACACTCAACCCTAAAGGGGATGTTTCCATCAAATCCCTCCCCTCAGAGCTCAGGGAACACCATGGAAGAGAAGGAGGAAGAAATTTAAGAGCCAGGAAGATGGAGGAACACCAAGAAAACAAGGCCCTTTAAAACAACATAAGCAAGGCTCCAATGAACTCACAGAGACTGAAGCAGCATGCACAGGGCCTGCACAGGTCTGCACCAGGTCCTCTGTACTTCCAGTGTAGTGTTTTTTAATGGGATTCCTGAGTGTGTGAAGGAGTGGATCTCTGATTCTCATGCCTTCTCTTGGGCTCTGTTCCTTCTGTTGATTGTCTTGTCCAACTTCGATGGAGTAGGTTTGGTTTTACCTTATTGTATCTTGTTTTGTTATAGTTTTTAATAAAGAATAAATGAGTGAATGCATGAATGAATGAAAATGAATACCTCACCACAAGAGGAATGGTTAACCACTAAATTGTAATTTATACTTGCTGAGAGAGGGAAAACCAATTTTCTCCAACGAAGGGACACTGGGTGGATCGACCACTCCAGGGCAGGCCTCCTGTTCAAGAGTAGTTGACCAACATATAACGGACTCCACCATTTTTTGTGTTATTTTATCTGGTTACAGTTTGTTGTTGTTTTCCTTTTGAGTGGTGTTCTATTCTGTCTTCTTGTTTTGAGGGAGTTTTGTTGTTATATTTGGTGCACGTTTTGTTTTTGAGAAAGAGCTTAGAGTTTAGTGGGAAGAGCAGAGGATCTGCAAGGACTTGAGGGAGGGAAAGAATATGATTGAATATATTTAAATTTAAAAATTGTTTTATATAATAAAAAAGAAATCATAAACAAAAAGTGTATAGTCATCTCACTTGTATTATATATCAATAAAATTAAGGTTAAAATAAAAAAATAAGTAAGAAAGTATCTCCCTAATACAGACTCATGAAACCCCTTTTCATCCCAATCCGTTTCAATATACACTGCCCGTCTTGGGTTAAGCTGCTAGCTGCTGTTCATATTATGACTCTGGAAATGTCTTCAGAGCTGTGCTACAGTTTCATTACATTTTCTATTTGTCTACATTTTTAATTTGAGGGGACATTTGTTTCATTGTTTGTATCTTTGTTTTATATGTAACTAGCATCCTCCATCCTCTAAGAGTAATCTAAAACTCCTCGTACTTCAGCTAATGTATCTGTCAGTGTAGCATGCTCAATTTGTTCCTGGAGACACTCTGGGGTTGCCCTTCAGCCCCGTGCTTCAATCCAGTCTATTGTTTTCTGGGTCTCACGAAGAGGTACCATTCAGGACTTCTCTGTGACACTGCTGTGCAATCTTTGTCTGCCTTCTGCATTGGACCCTAAATTCCATGTCTCCCTCACTTATAGTCACCACCGCCACCCCCATTTTAGAGGCACACAGTGTCTGCTACTTCATTGAAAAATATTTACGACAGATGTTTAGTGAGCATGCGTGAGGATTAACCTCTCATTGTCAGCCTTCACAGTAGAGCCACAAGTTGGCTGAGAAATGCCAAACTGAATATTACTTCCTCCTGGCACTTCAGAGACATATACTGTCTTCTAGTTTCTGATGCTGCTGATTCAAAGACAACTCCAGCATTAGGCATTGTTTCTCTTTTAAGAGGACTTCAGGGACTCCTATTCAGCTCCATGTCCACGAAGTCTTTGTGATGTGCCTTCATATGGATGCTGTGTCTCCATCACATGAAGACACCTAGTAACTGAAGACAGCGCAGGGGCTTCCATCTGGGAAGCAGTCTTTTATTATTTCTTTGCTCATTCCTTCTCCAAGCTCTTTCATAAACTGAGCTACTTCAGCCGTCTGGAGACGGGGTGGTCACCTGGCTATATGGGTAAGGAGCAACTGGGGATGGGCATTCGTTATTCTCCAAGTACACGTTCCAACCCACCGCCACCATTCCAGATGCCACCGATTCCTGGGCCTTTCTGGATTTAATAACACGAGTTGGCTTGCTGCTTGTGGCCTCCTCACAAAAGAAATTAACGGAGCAGGTAAAATTCAGGCCTAAGTGAGTAGTTACTGACCTGCCTGCGGCCCATCTCCTGAAACTACATGGGCATTTCCTACTGCTGTCTCCACTTGGCTTTGTCCTAGTGGATTTATTTCCTTTATGAATGGGTTATCTGGAGGGTATATGACATATCACGTATTATAAGTGCTCTATATGTGGGTTGCTTCTCTGTTCTCAAATAGCAAAGTTTACTTATAAATATTGACTTGTATATAGCATGTCATGTTCTATTTGTGTATTTAACACTGCGACCTATAATGACAAAGGGGTTCACACATCTCAGCAACCTGAGAACCCAGGTCAATATATAGCAACTACATTTCAAACTCTTCACATGGTTCTAAAATATACATATAAATATATAACATATAATATATATTATACACATAGATACAGTAATTGTAAATTATATCAAAGTTGTTTTTTAGCACTTTGTGTCTCAAAAGTAAAAGCTTTCTTAAGCCAAGTGGTTGTAAGAAGTGCACAGAAAACAATCATATTTACTTGGCCTTCTCAAGAATAACCATTTTCAGATTTTCCTTTAAGATATTTCTATTTTCCCCATAAAATATTGCCAGCTCTTCTTAGATGTAAGTTCCACCCACTTGCACTAATGAGTGGAAGTTGACTCTCTAATTGTTATATTGAATTAAGGTGGGAAACTCTACTTGACCATGTGTTATTGAGTTCTCTGACCTTTAAGTGAAACTGGAGATAACACACTCCTGGTGTTAACACAATATTCAGTCTTAATATCTTAAGTGCACAGTTATATTAAGCATTATGAGTAGTTTGATGATTTCCGTTTTAGTGTTACTATTGAAATATTTTCTGAGATTATTGTTAAATTTACAGAAAGTCTTTTTCTTTAAGTGCTGTTGAAAAATATCACTTGGCAATCTGCAGATCCATGTTGCTGCTATAGTTGGCCAGGACAGAAAGGCCGCATGTGAGGGATTTTACTCCCTGTGACACACAGCAATCAGCTCCAGGGAGACTTCACTGAGAATCTGCCATCTTGAGTAATCACTATCAGACTGTGACCACAATCTTCATGTACAGATTGGGAGACTGGCAACGTGTCATAATGGCTCTGCCAAAATAGCAAAAAGACCCCAGCTGATGTCACATCTTGCTGCGGAACAATCTTTTTCTACACTATAAATATGTATTACTCTCAATGGTTAATAAAAAGCTGACATGCCAGTAGCTGGGCAGAAAGTTAGGCAAGAAAGTCAAACCGAGAATGATGGGAAGGAGGGCGGAGTCAGGAGACACCAGCCAGTTGACCAGGAAGCAAGACATGCTAGAGGACAGGTAAAGCCATGAGCCACGAGCCACATGGCAATACTATAGATTAATAGAAATGGGTTAATTTGAATGTAAGAGTTCGCTACTAACAAGCCTGAGTTACCGGCCAATCATTTATAATTCAGTCTCTGAGTCGGTTATTTGGGACCGAGCGGTTGGGATAGGAAATGTCCATTTACAACATCTTCAGGACCTCCTATTTACATTTCTTCTTCCAGGTAAGAAAGCCTCAGATCACCCAAGAGGGCTAGTCAGCGCCGACCCGAGAGTGGGCACAGAGCTGGGATTATGCAAGCAACAGCAAGGGCTAAGTCAACGTGTGTCTTCACTGAGGTCAACATTTTCAGATCCAAAACTGTTCATCTGTTAATTAGATTACAAAACGGATCGTCTGATAAGCAGAGCTTGTTAGCAGTCAGAGGAAATGAAAATTCCTAGGAAGTGCACTGCTGACTTTCTCAGCCATGTGTTCCACACAGCCAAGGACTCCAAGAGCTAAGTCATGTTCACATGAGAACTCACTTCTGCAGAAGGTTAGCAAGCTCAGAATTCCACTGGAGACTCCTTTACTGTTTTGTTACTGTTCACTAGTTTAGGGGTGGCTGTTTGTTTTTAGTTTTGCTTGCTTGAGGGCTCATTTATCTGCCTGTTCTTC